GGCATAATAAACCAGAAATGAGGAAATGTGTTATTTAGTAATAAGATGGAACTCATGACTGAAAATTCCCCTAAAATAAACAGAATGCAAATCTTTAACCCATTTGATAAGCTGTCTGGCCTGGGAATGCAAAGGCTCTTTGTACTCTTTTGTTTGCATGATCTCTTAGTACGGCCCTGTGCCTTGGTAATGTCACACATTATTGTGATGATAGGATGACTGAAGCAAGGCTATCTGTAAATATGAGGTACTCGCTTTACATATGCTTAAAGAAAGAGGCCGGGCGGAGAAAGCGGCCTTGTTTACAACTTATGAGCGATCCCAGGTTCATAGCTTGTAATTATTAATGGGCAAACTGTAGGATCAGGAGGCTTGAAGACTAACAGAAGGCCTTTAAACCGGCTGGAGCATTAATCACTGTATTATCCCTAGTTCTGGAGGATTATTACTACTAAAGGCTAAATATGTTTTAATTAGTCTTTCAGTTTTTACTGTTATGTTTTTGTTCGGGCTGGATTTCCCAAGCAATTAATGCATTCATTTTAGGAAGGCAAATGGCTCTGTAGCTTCATTTTAAAATATTTGGGCCCCATTTACATTTGAACCTGAGCATATTTGGGTGCTTTATCAGGGGTTTGTACAGGGGTTTTAGCAAGTGTTTCAGCCTTGAGTGTTTTATTTTATTTTTATCCAATGCAAAGCTAGTTACTAGGTGAAAAATACACGTTTTGCGCTTTTTTGGACGTTTTTCAGACAATCCTGTTGAAGCCTATTGGGGCCAAAATGCTTGCCTCCAGAGTAAGTTCAGGTACTTTTTCGAGCTATGGGTGTTTTGCTACATGTGACAGAACACTGAACAGGGACCATTGAAAACAATGGGATTCCTTCTGTCCAGCACTGAAGCACTTAGGCATTCATGCTACAAACCGCTCAGGAGTGAATGGGGCCTAAAGTCTGTAATTGATGGTAACAACCTTACTGCAATTCTATATGCTGCTATAAAATGTAAAGAAAAAAGAAAATCACTAGGGGTAATCATGTTGTATTTAACCCTCCTGTATTGAAATTGTATTGTAACTGTACTGTCTCCCTCCATAACATGCACACCACATTTCACATGAAGCGTGCACAAATAAAATCAAACAAGATATATGTTTACTAAAGAGCCCTACATCATCATTTGGCATCACTTTTTGTGCTCGCAAAGACTTGAATGGACTTCACAGGAAGAATAAGAACCTTTAAGCACAATTAGGCCCTCGTTCACACGGGCATAAAGAACACGCATTGGTTTCGCGTCACTGAAGTCTTCCAAACGCTTTGCAAAGCCAACGCCGGTTCTGTAACAGAAAAGCAAATGGTCCAGTAAACACATAAGATTGTGAATGCATTTACGTTGCATTGTTTTTAATCTCCCTGGCAGCATTTGGCAGGCATGGGAAGCTTGAAGAGTTTGCCAAATGCCTCAATTTAAGTCAACGACAGCACGCCCCAAATGTGCCGTAATCGCCCGTAAACATTTGGGAAGCTTTTTCTTTTAATGAATTTCCCTTAAAAAAAAAAATGCTTTACCAGGCATTCTAAAAGCCTTAGACGCTGTTTTCCAAAGGCCTCCTAAATACGTCTAAAGGTGCCAAAAAAATGCCTTTCAATGCTATACAAGATATACAAGTGTTTATATTTAATACCTGTGTGAACGTAATCCAATGAAAATTAAAGTCGTATTAAAGCTTCAGCTTTTTTAATACAGAAAGTCCCCTCTAGCTCTAATAATAATAACTGTCCACAATGCCACATAACACTATGGTGCATTTTTTATGGTAAATGGTGTGGCCTTCAGCTTTGCCCGTTCCGCTTCCCAAACTTCCGGTCAGGGAGCGTGCACTCATAATGGAAAAAAAAAATCTCCTTTTTCCTTGCTTAGGACTATATATTTTATTTAGTATTGGTATTTATATATCGCAGACAATTTATGCAGTGCTTTAACTAGTGCACATGTATAGGTCCAAAGGTGGACCTAGGTGTGCGGGTGACTCCTTCTTTTACATTTGTATTTATGTGGTGCCATCTGCATGTCATTCAGCACTCTCCATTACATCAATATGAGATTCCAGGCTGGCAGTGCAATGGGACATAAATAAATTACCTAGTGCACATTCACTTTAGGAGCTTACAATACAAGGTCCCTGTCTTACATGCATACAGGGACTAATGATGTGGCGGGGCTTGATGTGATCATTACAAAATTGTCACTGACACCCCCCTCCCGGCCCAATGAGTTGCACAGACATCACAAAGGGACTGGGAGTGCCCCCTTTTTTTTTTTGAAGCCTGTGGAACGTGCATCGAAAACTACTTCCCCCTGTGAACAGAAAAAGTGAACCGTGAAATCACAGCACACAAAAACGTGCACAAGGGTGCTTGGTCCTTCAACAAAGAAGGGACCTACTTTCCCGACCCCCCGGGGCGCAAGGCTCCTGACAGGGGTTGAGTCTGATGGTCCACCAACCCAAAGGCCGGTGGACCCCGATCCTTTGGGGACCTGCCGGAACAGGTCCCTCACAGTACTAGGCGGGGGGCTCTCCCGAAGAGAGACCCCCCAGGTTGGGGGGAGACAGAGAACCCTATATAAGGGCACAGAATCCCCCCCCACATCGGGAAAAGGCCCGAAGGAACCTACACCCTCTGCAATCTGTGGGTAAAATTTCAATAAAAATAAGCCAATCGTGCAATAAATAATACTAAAGTGCCAGTGCACCACGCTGACAGGCCTTAGGGGCCGCAGTGCAAAAATATTGCCCCGGACTAGCCATAAGGCCTGTCCAAGAGGCGATATGCAGAAAATGCAAGGTGGTGTGTGACCAAGTGCACAGTGAGTAAATGTGGGGTCCCATACCCGTGACTTTCTGAGCACCCCTGGGACGCCACCCCCAGGGGGCACAACACCATGGGCTTCTGCCGCCCCCAACCCTCCAGCCAGACCAAGCTTCGTATCTGTTCAGTCAGAAAGCCATGTACTGGGCTGTTCTTCTCTCACAGGAAGCAGGCCTACACGCACTTTCACTCCAGCGAGTACTAAGTAACCATCCCCCGCAAGGACGGTTCTTTTCCCCACCGAAAACTGATAAGAACAGATACTACACCTAAGGGACTGGGAGTGCCCCTACTGCAACTGATTGGGCCAGGAGGGCAGTAGCGTCAGTTTTGCATGGGTTTGAGTGAAAGCGGTTCGCACCAAGCCCCCACATATCACTACTTGGGACTACATGTCCCATAATTCCTAGCACCGTTGCATCACATCTCCATCCCTAGCGTAGGCAGCTGCAGCAGCTGCAGCAGCTATAATGTGAGTGCGCACATTAAGGTGCTTTTGTCTTGCGACTTTTGTCTTGCGAGGGTTGTAAAGTACTTTAAAAAACGTACGATCTGCCCATCTTGGACAGGCAGATAGTACTTGCGATCATCGCAAGCCCGCCCCCCTGAGGGGCGGGCTTCCGATGACTGCAATGAGGGGCGGGCTTCCGATGACTGCAAAAACAAAAAAAAGTACTGCCATCAGCATCTTTATTTGCAAAAATAAAAATGAGGGTTTCATACGACCGCGTGCCCACACTGCACACGTATGCAAGCATGTCTACACACATATGTTTCTATAGATAGATTTGCACAGCATGCACACACCATTGACATCATAATACAAATATCTATAACACAAGCAAATATATTCAAATAGCAAGAAAAGGAAACTGAAAAGAGCCTGTACTTAGACGTGTCTCTTTTCATCTATTTATAAGCACCTAGCATGGTATCCACATAAATACTCCCATAAATACTCGAGCATATATTTCAGCATTATAAACACACACGCCGCTTGACGCTCTTGTCCCCACGTTACTTTGATTGACAGCCAGGCAGCTACTTCTCCATCTCGCCGCCCATCCCACTCATTCTGGCAGTTGGTCCCGCCCCCCGATCGCACCATTGGCTCGTAGTAGCGCCCTGCAGCCCGGGTGGAAGGCGTCCCCAGAAACGACATGGGGAAGGCCGCGATTGGCTGCTACGTCACGACCCCACGTTGGATTGCGGCGCCACGATTGGCGGCGACGCGCGTTGCCTTTGCATGGCTTGGGCGGACCCGGCTTCTGGTTAGCTGGAGGAGTGTGAAACCGCGTGTTAATGTAACCAGTTGTGGAAAAGTGAGGGCGGCCCGAGACGTTTGTGTCCCGTGCACGGAGCTCGCGCAGCCCATCGCAGCTGCTGCTCGCCGAGGCCTGGACGGAGGGAGAAGCCAGAGGACCCGCCTGCTTTGTTCGCCCGGGTCCGGCTCATTTCCCTCTGGAGCTTATTGTGGCTGGGAGAAGTTTGCGCGGCTTTTGTCCGGTCCCCTCGCCGGCACTTTGTTCCTGTGCCCAGGAAGGTGGGGGAGGAGCGGGCGGAGCTGCTAATTAGCCGTCAGAACTAAAGGGGCTGTTATTGTTAGTGTTTGTTTGCCGGCGCCGGCCGCGCAGGATCCCTCGGCTTTCCCACCAGCAGCTTCTTCCATCTGGATGTTTACGGAGCGCTCCCGGGGCTGCATCCTCTCTCACCCAACCCCCACCCGTGTGCGCCGCCCTCCGGGCATGTGTCCCACGGGCTGCTGATACCCATCTGCTGGAACCACGCTTTGCTTTGGGAGAGATCGAGCACTGCTCTCTGTCTCGGATACACCACCACCTCCTCTCCCATCGGGATTTATTGTCTTCCGAGGGGGGGATCCCTAAACTTGCCCGGGAAAGTTTTCTGGAAATACCGTGCGGTGAGGAAAGAGAAGCGATCGGCGGGGAGTGATCGGCAGTGTCCCGGGTGCCCGGACAAGCTGTCTTCATCTGCTCTCTGCAGACAAAGAAAGGAGGAGGCGGCAGGATGCTGGGCGGCTCTGCATAGAGGACTCTTCACATCGCCAGCCGGCCATCGCAGCCACATTGGGGCCTTCACACTCTGCTGGCGTTTTGGAGTTCGCCAAAGTCGTCGAGAATTGATCTTCACAGGGGCAAAGCTGCGGCTGGGAGAGCCATGTTTCCCCAGAGCAGACACCCGGTGAGTTCGCACAACCTGGCTGGGTGCATCATCTTCCCTTCTAAAGGGCCACATCAGAAAGTAGATCTAAGTCCAAATCAATGCAATCTCATAGAAGCTATGGCAAGGGTAATGCCATTCCAAAAGTTTCCCATCTGCAGATTTTGTTAACACGAGATCTGGTGTTCCTTTCCTCAAGGTTCCTTGTTCAGGCACTTCACATTCACGGGGTGACAACTGGATCCTGATTGTGCGCTTGCATTGTCACTCGCTCACCTGGTGATCAGAGATGAAGATCCTTGTTCAGGCACTTCCGATAAAGGGGTGACAACTGGATCCTGATTTGGTGTTGTCACCCTGTCACGTGCTTGCCTGTTGGAGTACCTGGTTTTCCTGGAATGAAGGCACTTCCTGTTATGAGGTGACCAATGGATCCCAATTCTGCACATTGTCACGTGCTCGCCAGATGGAGGCTACAAGGGGCCCGTGCTGACACTGCATAGCACAGGCATGGTCCACTGTTGTCACCATTATGGAGCTGGGAAAGAGCAACCATGTGCATGAAGACAGGAAGCGGAGGATGTTAGCAGCAGATACAAACAAAAATATATAAAAAAGGGAATGCAATATTTTTTTAATGGGAGTTAATGATGATTAATATCCAGTTTGGTTTTAAATTTGCCTTCAGGAGCTAGAGAGCTTGGGATTCTATTGACTGCACCTAAAAAGGATATCAAAGATGGAGTCAGTTCATCATGTTTTGGGTGCAGTGGTCTCTTGTCCTCTGGGATTTGTCCCGCCTGATCATACGCTACTGATTTTTCTTTGTTCCTCAGAGATGTCACCTATTTTGTGTTCCGCTACCTTGGGTCTTGGTCTATCTGTTTTTTATTTCGGGGACTGTTGTGTAAAGAAAGCATGGCGTTTTGTTTGATTGCAAACTCTTTTTTTTCTTCCAGCCAGTGGTTTAACATAAATCTCATGCCCACATGTCTGCCATCTGTTCTGCTCTCCAAGTTGTTGGGAGGAGGAAGCTGGGGGGAAGCCTTATTATGTATGCCACATACCACCCACCAATTTTCCTCCTTGTTCTTGAAGTGTCTGAAATGCTCTTGGTCTTGATCTTTATTGCACTTCTTTAATTCAGAGTTGATGGTTTTACCATTTTATGGCTTTGCGGTTGCCAGTTTTAGATGGAACTTCCTGTTTTTAGTACAAATAAGCCCATCTGAAATGAGATGAATAGGCCATAGCTCCACATAAGGATAATGCAGCCTCTTGCTTGGCTGCTGCCCCCTGGGTTGGCTTTGTTGGCGTCTGTAGGCCACAGTCATTTTGTTATGAGCTAGTTGTTAGTGTTAAAGTGACACAACACTCAGGAGTGAAATCGTAAAAACACATTGAAGTACTTTTAATGATTAACAAAAATGTATCTTATTTATGTATCACTCGGCTGTAGATCCTCAAATCATCTCTGAATTGGTGTTAACACTGTCCTTCCTTCTGGAGGGTGAATACTTGTGTTCCCCATTGTCCATGTAAGTGGTGTAAAGTAGTCGCTGCTCCAAGCTCACTCCCGTCATGGACTACAATCTCAGTTACAAATTTGTAAACTAAATGTGAGATTGTAGTCCATGACAAAAGAAAGCTAGGAGCGGTGGCTACTTTTGTTCCCCAAGTGTCCCTGTGTGTATTGTAAAGTAGCCACCACTCCGAGCATGCTCCTGTCATGCACTACAATCTCACATTTAGTTTACAAATTTGTATTGAGATTGTAGTCCATCACAGGAGCGAGCTTGTAGTGGTGACTACTTTACACCACTTACATGGACTATGGGGAACAAAAGTAGTCACCCTCCAGAAGGAAGGACAGTGTCCGCACTACAGTGATACACAAATAAGATACATTTTTGTTATTAGTTAAGGTACTTGAAGGTATTTTTAAACTCGAGTTTAGTGTCACTTTAAATTGTGTTTGTAGTCAGAGTTGTAATAGTAACATTACACCGCTGCATCTGTTTGAGTCAGCCATTAATGTTTTATTGGTAAAGAGGTTTTAAAAAATGCCTGTCTTAATATTGACTTATATTGTTGTTCCTATTGTACTGTATTGCACTACACCCCAAAAGTGATGTAGAAATGTAAGTTGTTCCAGACTATGAAGGATCCAAAATATGCCTCTAGCTGGATGAAAGGGCCTCAACATTGACCCTTTGCTTTGAAATCTAGCAGTAATAGATCGTTAGTCACACACTGTAAACATGTGTACTTATGATTCAATGCTATAAACAGGATTTGGAATTTTAAAGAGGAAAGATTTACTCTGTCATCTCATCTGGCCTGCGTGTGCATTGTTACTCTGTTCAAGGATACAAAGATAATGGGCCTTGTCATAAATTCTTATTTACCCTTGGCCCAGTTAGCCACTTTTAGAAGTCAGACTTGTCACACAAGATTAATATAATTGCCGGTTTATTGAGAGTCATTAGGTGTGTGTGTGTTTGCAGCTATATTTATCCAGGCAGGTGAGGCCTGCTGTCTTTCCTGATGTTTTAGTTGCTATGTATATTTTTTTGGGCAGATTAGTCAAGTTTCTAACAATGTGTTACACCTATTCCTCCTCCAGTCAAACACAGAACAATGCTGGCCGTGTTTCCCTTTAGATATGTTCATTCTGGTGTTGGATGAGTTAATCAGCATTGTGCTTTGCTTGGCAAGTCAAATGGAAACTTTTCTTGGTGGCTTCTATGAAACTGTTGTGGGAATAAGACTGCAGGGTATTATGTCTGCTCTGCCTTCAGTATCATTCAAGTGGAAGTTGTATTGAAGTTTTTTTGTTTTTAATATTTAATTTCATTCCTGTCTTTTTGGTCCTCCAGACGCCACACCAGGCCGCAGGCCAGGCATTTAAATTTACCATCCCTGAATCCTTAGACCGGATTAAAGAAGAATTCCAGTTTCTCCAAGCTCAGTATCACAGGTGAGCATTTGCAGAAATATGTCGGGATCCATTTTTGTTTTATATGAAAAATACATTCTTTCTGCATGATAAAAAAAGAAACATAAGCCTGATTTTCAGTGTTGGGTTGAATTGAATGAAACGATTTAAGCCGGATTCAGTTGGGTAAAAAAAAACTAAAACATATATGTTCTTTTTTTGTCTTTTAAACAAGCATGAAACAAAGGTTTTTGAGTAGTATGCCGTGACAGAGCCTTTCCTTTTTTATGGCTTTAAACCTTAGGCAGAGTGCAAATATTTGTATGCTTTTTATTTCAAACAACATAGTCTTCCTTGTGATTGTGTACAGATACTTAGAGCCGGTATGCTGAACCTCATGTGTGCTAATAGATCATTGCATTGTGTTCCTAAAATTGTTCAAAGTTGCACACTGGACAGGTTTATAGCTAGGAGGATACTATACCCGCAGGACTTGTTCATACCACGTCTGCTGAGCTATGAAAAACAGGGCATGTAATAAACAGTTGTTTTCTGTGTGTCCTGTTCACACCATACATATGCACTGGTGTTCAGAAAAAACAATACCAGTCTGTGTCCCACCGCACTCTAGACCAGAATCCTGTATATAATAGAATGGGTACTGTTATGACCTGAGGATGGTGCGGTGTGAATCCAAATGGTGAAAAGAAGTGACCTGCACATGGGTTGTTAGCGTCTTTATTAAAGGTGTTCTACACATTGGAGTGCGGGTGACTTCTTTTCAGCAGGTGTGCAAAACAAATACGCAACTCAACGGACTGTGAGTGTGAACAGGAACTTATGAGGTGTTTTATCAAAAAATTGGGCAGTTTCCTGCAGCATCCAATCAATATGCATCCTTTTAATTGTAACAAGGAATCTGGTAGCTCTGGGTAACGGCTTTAATTGTTCTTGTAGTTTAAGTAAATCAACTTCCTTAAAGTATTCTTTCAGTGGACTGTAAATGAGTCCAACACATTGCATATTTTACTCATCTCTTTTCCTTTTTAGTTTTTTTAATTTCTCCTATTTATTGCCAGCAGGTGGTGTTGCTCTCCCCACTCCTCCACTGTTGTTTCCAGAATGGGTTGTCCCATTCAAACCAAACTTTTTTTTTTTTTTTTACCCTGTGTATTCCAAACCTGCCTGAGAACTGTCAATATTTGCTCTTCATTTTGTAACAAAATCTTGAGTTGAAAACACCAGATGAGTCAAAGCTGTTTGCCTTCAGGAGCCTGCTTAGCAGTAATAAGGCTTTGTTTAAATAGTAAATTAGTTACTGTTTGTTAAACATCCTGATACACAGGCAGCGTAAAAAGATTGACGCTGGAGTAGGTAGGAGGTTGTTCAATAAACGGAAGATAATCTATCTTTTCCATACTCCCAATGAAGCAGGCAACCCTCCATTTTCTCTCATGCACATACATTACACGTAATTTAGAATTGGTGGTAGAGCTTTAAATGAGTACCTTCCTGTTTTGTTATGACATGTACACATTTTTGCAGAGATTGTTACTGGTTTAATTTTATTAAATTTGTACGGTGCAGTGAGAATGTGGGGCAGGAACTGTGATTGCCATGCATTGTAATTGGCAAATAGTGACTTCCAAGCTGCATATTGAGCCGGCATTAGCTTGGCTAGGGTTGCAGACTAACTAAAAATAGGTATGGACCTGTCTGAGTTGTGGTCTGTGCGTCTGACCACATGTGTTGTCGAAGATCTGACCATGTTTTTGCTTCAGTTATAAAATCTTTCAGTTTGTAGGTTCTCTTATAAATCATATGGGATCTTACTATCTCAAGGACACTGTAAATGACTGAATTCATGAATGCTTACAGTGGACCTGTCATTAAATTCCCACTTTTAAATGAAACGGTAGTCGTATCATGTAGTTTAATAGATTACAATATTCTAGATGGAAAAAGTCTTGTTCTCCATCTCATAGCCTCAGCAGCCTAGAACACATGGTCTCTGGCTACCAACCACATTACTGCTGAGAGTCTGTTGTTTACAGTCAGCAGTGAGATAAGATGATCAAAAAGGCTTCCATGTACATAGATAACTACAGATGACGCACTAAAACCTTCTAGCACACATTGACTGTTTACATTGTGTGTGTGTATAGAAACATTGCAAAAAATGTATTAGAGTTGTCAGAGAAACGGGGCTCCCTATTGGAAGATTTCCCTTCACCTCTTCTTTTTGTCACTGTAAAATGTGCGATTTCCCATTTAATGTCTCACCGAGAATTGTCACCAGTACCAGATGGGGAATATCCCCAGTGCGAACACACCTAGCAATACACATTTTGACAGGATACTAACCCTTCTCTAGTTAATCCAAAACTAGAAAAGTTTTTGCTATCCATTGAAATGTATAAAAAAATAATTGTCTTTTTTGGCAAGCATCCTATTCCTTTTTCAAGCTTGCATTATCAACCTAAGTTTGAAGCATAACTAAACCTGAGAACAAAAATATTACAGCTTACAAGTCCTATGATGTGGTGGCTGCATTAGTTTTCTTCAGCAAGTACTGGAAATACCTGTACGCCTTGCTAGAAATGCAGTGTCCTCGTGAGCTGACCTAGAAGCAAAACGCATTATCTTATTTGTGTAAACTACTAATCCCACAATGCAATGAAGATGTTCAAAGGCAGGCATGTTTGAAGTCCAGCTTGGGTGGCAAGCTCCTTCTTTACAATGGAGAAATGAGCCTAGCCACACAGGGAGAGGCAATGCATTATTTGCAGGATTGCCAGGTGAACAAAAATAAAAATAAGTATGAGAAGTAAATAGCCGCTTCATTTTAGGACTGGTAAGCTGAATGAATAAATTGTTTTTGGGGTGTAGATAGGTTTGAAGAGAACTGGGTTATGGGATGAAATGTAGTACTTTCAGGTACTTCAGAGGCCTTATCTATGAGCATGTTAAAACCTTTTTTTTTTATTTTTTCAAAGCCTTAAATTGGAATGTGAAAAACTAGCGAGTGAAAAGACAGAAATGCAGAGGCACTATGTTATGGTATGTACTCTTATTTATATTCTAATCAGTTTAAAATACAGCAACTGGAAAGAAACTAAGCTGTTTTTTTTTCTTCTACAGTATTATGAGATGTCTTATGGACTTAATATTGAGATGCACAAACAAGTAAGTTTAATAATAGTTATAATGGCTATTATATATGTTTCATGACCTTTCACTGCACGCAGACACTGCTCTTTCCCAGACACATGAGCAATGCCTCATTCATGCTGTACGAACCTCTGCGCCTGTGTGGTTGAGGCCTAACGTGCATCAGTGCACAACGATGCCATTTATTGTGAATGCACTCCAGGGAATCTCCGTAATGCGGTGCGATTTGCAGTGATAAAATGCAAATGGAGCCTTTTTTTTGTATGTGTGTTGCAGTCCATTCCTCTCCTGTGCATCAGCTAAAAATAGTCACCTAAGGTAGATGAGAATGTTTCAATACGTCACAAGCAGACATAGGTGGTGTCTAAAGCTTGACCATACATGGACTACATTTTAGGCAGTTTGCTGCACCACCCAGCTCAACAAATGTTGATGTTTCAATCGACTTTTGTCAAATTAGCAAGTTGGAAACTTGATGACCGAACAGACACTGCAGGCACTGTTGCGATTATCTGACCACTGCATGAACTGGCTGTCAGAATGTAATGGCCACCTGGGGAGATTCCTCCATTCAGACTCTTACAGTGTATGGTCAGATTGTATATTATACCAGTGCCTTCCTATGGGGTCAAACGTTTCAGATAACTGCACTACAAAGAGTTAAATGGTAGGTGGTGAGTTCAGCGTCCCTTTTACAATGCCATTTTTCCTTTTTGGTGTTTAAAAAAAATTAAAAATAAAGTTTGTATGGGAACTGCATTTATACACAGATTGCCTGAGCCACTGACCATGCCAGAGATGCTTTTAGGAGTATGTGCTTATCACCCATTGAAATGTAAAGAACCCAGTTCACCAAATAGCTGTATGCAGCCACATAACACATGCACTGCACAGTCACACAAGGATTGTGTGCACCTTCCCCTACTTTTTCCTGTAGCCTTTTAGTCAATTGATATAACTTGAGTTTATTCTGAAAAGTAATGCAACAAACTCTACAAGTTCAGCACTTTTGCACTGTAATGGTATGCTAGTTGTGCGTTTTTTTGCATTTTCTTTAATTCAATTTGTAGTATAAATAAATGCTTTTAATGTACATGTAATGTTCATTTACCTGATTAGTGTTGAGCAGCTGACTCTTCTGTGTCCAATTCAGCATGCTTTCACCTTGTAAAATCCCAGCCTTTGAAAAGAACAAATAGGTCATTGGTTGTTCTTATTTGAGGTGCAAACCTTGGTTTGTGTTCCCATAAAATTCTCACTTCTGACCATGATAATGGTGAATAAAGAGTATTGAACTGGAACAAGGCACGAAGGGCCTCATAAGAGAAGAGCAGCTAAATGATTGCTCAACCCAAAGGACCCTCAATTGAGCTCATATTGTCTGCCAAAGAAAGCATTAATGGCAGGGTGTAAGTATTCAGCAGATATGCTGACGCTCACATTTTCATCGAGATGATGGCACAATAAGTCTTTAAGAAATTGATTTGCCTCTTAAAAAAGATTATCATTAGATGAAGTTGCACAGTTGGACACATTTCAAAGTGCAACAATACACTTCAAGCTTGATGTATATGTGCTATTCCGTCTAAAATTCTTGTTTCATTAAATTAAAGAGCATGGCTGACCGACCAGGGCGCTGCAGAGAAATTGATTAGTTCAGGCTTCAGGCCACTAGTATATTCAAAGACCTTTAGCAAGCAATTGAGTTGGGAGCTGCATTTCTATGGGGATATTCTTAGCTTTATGTGTGCAGTAGAATGGGTATTAACATTCACTTGCCTGCTGGAGATGGTTTTTGTGAAAGGCACTTTGTGTATTGCAGGAGATCACATGGGTCATTGAAGAAATCACCAGTGGTCTTGTGCAGTTTGCTTTTTATCCACGTACACTTACGGGTTGCTAGTATGAATACATCATGCATCTATTTAAATGTCCTGTATATTTTTTGTGTGTGAAGTGCAGCATCCTTATGGGTTAATTCCGGATACAAGGTTCCCTCCCACTGTGACTTGCATCGTCTTATTAGTTTTTTTTTTGTCTCTATCTTTTTTTAAAAGCAAAAAAACAAAGGTTTTTTGTATCAATTTTTTTTGCTATTAATTTTAAAAAGACATTTGGTAGCTAGTAATCATAATTCTTAAAAACTGGTGACGTGCAAACCCCAGGGTGCAGGCAGGCTCAAATTGATGCATTTTGCTGACTGATCACCAGCATGGCCTAAGTGCTCATTATGTTGTAGAGAGGGCCTTTGGAGCGCTCATTACGTTTGACAGGAATTCTCTCTAGGGGGAACTGGGCATTAGCTAGACTCCTGACAGGCTGAAATTATTCCTGCTTTATGGCTTATAACCAAATGGTAGCAAGGAATCATCTGGGGACAGAAAAATGTCATTTCTGACAACATCTTTGTTACTGAGAAATAGGAGGAGGGGTGGGGGAATTCCACAGAGGCAGCGTTAATGTTCCTTTGGCCTGTCTGCTATGTGTATGATGCCACACGTACATTTTGTGAAACCCTTTGCGGCAATGTCATCTGATTTCATGGCTTGAAATGTATGTACAAGGTAGTGTGTGGTGCGTCATTTTTTTTTCCTCTCTCCTCCTTTTCCCTCCAAGCTGCTTCTCATTTAGAAACTTGTATTTAGCGTGCAAAATAAGAAGATGCAAAGCCTTTTTTTAAATATTGGTTTGCAGGTGTGAAATCCAGTGACGTGTGTGTATAAAACATTTGAAATATAGCTCATTATCTTCGCTTGTGTGTTTTTGTTTTGTTTTTTTAATATCCTCATGATAAAATTAGTTGGGGACATCACCGGGAATGAATTAAGCATGACAAATCCCAGTCTCCATAGTGACTGGATGGTAACATCATGTCTAGGACCAGTTAAGATGTGAGTTTTTTTTTTTTTTCCCCTACATGCATTTATCAAAACTGGAACAGACAAAATCTGGAGAATTTGCACTGCAGATCAGCTTCTCTCTCATTTTTAAAACTTACCTGAGCAAACTGAAGAGAGATGCTGATTGGCAACTGCTCTAGATTTTGTCTGCTCCAGTTTTGATCAATTCACCTCATGATCTTCCCACTCTTCCATACAGGTATCTTCTAACTCCTGTACTGTGGGTTGGTTATCTGGTGGGAACATGACCACTTCTACTAGGTGAGTGTTTTGGGAATTGTTCCTCGCAAGTAAGACACTATTAGAGAAGCCAGGTTCACTTTCTTACTTGATCAGACATGGAAGATCTATTCCCACAAAGTAGCTATCCAGCTACAGAACTCATATGCTGCATTTTATTCCTGACAGTTACAGTGAGCTACGTTCTTTTTCACAGGTCAGTGAGAAGCTACACATCTATGTGCTTTTATTTACACTTGTATGAGGGAAGTCTTCTGCAGTTTTAAAACCAAATCTCGGCATGATGGAACTTTTTAGTTCTCCAGCTCCATAAGACTTGCAGAGTGTTTTCTTGTATGCGATCCACCGCTCAAACTTGTTAGCAATAGTACACTATCCTTGTATTTCCATTAAAAAAATATAGTATGGATTTTTTCCATCCCATATATTTTTATTCATATATTTTAATTTTCTATATTTTCAATTAGTTATTTGGCACTATTATGATTCTGCACCAAACCTTGGGCAGTTAGGCTGCTGTTCTTATCCACCATGATGGTCTATCCCTCGTGTGTATGGTGAACATGAAGATCAGAATGAGTGTTTCTGGTATCCTAATGAAGTGAGCTAACTTACAACCTTGTTATGAGATCAAAGTAGCATTGTTCTGGCTATCTAACCTTTTAGAGTTGGTTCCTAGAATTTGGAAAGTTTTTTTTTTTTTTTCCCAGATCTGATTTCACATTTTTATTTGGGCAGGATTTTAGGACTAACTCTAGATTTCTTACCTTGTATATACATCAAACTTCACTCCATTGGACAACAAGGTTTTTGGGAGTTTGAGTCATGTATATAGATTCATAAAAACTTCCAAATCCCTTGTCCAATGAAGTTTGATGTGTATATACAAGGTATGAACATTAGAATTGGTCCTAAAGTGTTGCCCAAATGAGTTTGTGAAATCGAATCTGGTAAAACTATCCAAAATCCAGAAACCAACTGTAAAATGTTATGTGACTCATCTCCTAACCAGTTGGATAGCTACTTTGTGACAAGGGATCTCCAATGCCTGATCAATGTCAGAAAGTGAACCTGGGCTCTCTAATATTGTCTTACTTGTGAGGAAGAATTTCCAACACGCTCACCAAAGTAGTGTGGTTAGACCATTACTGAATTCTCTGGTTACAATTTTTGGGATTTTTTAGATAGCCTTACCTTATTACAAGTCATGAAACAGGTGAGAAGATTTACGGTCAAATATAGACACAAAGTAGAAGAAATGCATTAGGTGGTATGCCTTTGAGAGCAGCAGTAAATGGATTAAAGAATGCAAGTGAATTGTCAATACTGCTTGTTAAGCAGTTTGCAAGGGCAGTGCTTGTTATGGATTTTTTGAATTCGAGCAAAGGGGCCATTTCTTTTATTTGCTGGAAGGTTTGTCTAAAAGGAAATTAAATGCTGAAAACAATGTTGTTTTTAGAAGTGCAAGGATATGGGATGTGGATTCGTGTTTCAGGAGTTTGTGTTGTGAAATAGCCCCAGTGGATGTTAGTTCCAATACTGTTGCTTTTAACTGTATGGTTATTGTTAGGTATATGCTGAGTTGGACAAATGTATTGTAGAATTCTGGTGCTGGCCACTCAAATACAGGGGCCAGAAGATAGTTTTCAGAGCTGTCTCATGCATGTGATGTCTGGTGCTGTTTTATATATGTGTACTTAAAGGAGAACTATGGGGTCAGGGCCTTTCCCCATACTTCTCCCAAGTGTCACAGGAGAACACAAACTAGCGTTCTCCCGTGACCCAAAGCTCGGTATACTGAGACCGACGCAGCCGGGACGGATACCGTTAATACTGTCCTGGATCCACCCAGCTGCGGGATTGACAGCTGGCTCT